CGCAAGGTTGTCAGTGCTTCTTGCGGTGGCCATCCACAAACTCGGTGGTGGACACCCTGGGTTAGGGAGGCTGTCAAGCTGAAAAAGGAGTTCTATCTGACCTTGTTGGCCAGTGGGACTCTGGAGGCAGCTGAGGAGTACCGGAGAGCCAAGTGGTGTGCTGCCTTGGCTGTTGCGAAGACAAAAGCTCAGATGTGGGAGGAGTTCGGTGAGACCTTGGATAGAGACTCTCGGTCAGCTCCGAGGAGATTCTGGCAAATCATCAGGTGGCTGAGGAGAGGAAAGCAGCACTTTACTAACACTGTGTTCAGTGAAGGTGGGGTGCTGTTGACCTCAACCAGTGATGTCGTCAGGAGGTGGAAAGGATACTTCTCGGACCTTCTCAATCCCACCAGAACGTCTTCCATGGAGGAAGCTGAGTCAGGGGACTTTAGGGTTGATCTGTCCATAACCATGGCTGAGGTCGCAGAGGTAGTTAAAATGCTCTGAGGCGACAGGGCTCTAGGAGTGGATGAGATTCACCTTGATTTCCTTAAAGCTCTGGATGTTGTGGGGCTGTCTTGGCTGACACGCCTCTGCAACGTCGTGTGGACATCGGGGGCAGTGCCACTGGATTGGCAGGGGTAGTGGTTCCCCTCTTCAAAAAGGGGGACCAGAGGGTGTGCTCCAATTATAGGGGCATCACTCTCCTTAGCCTCCCTGGTAAATTATATTCAGGAGTATTAGAGAAGTGGGTCCGATTGTTGGTCAAACCTCAGATCCAGGAGGAACAATGTGGGTTCCGTTCTGGCCGTGGAACACTGGATCAGCTCTTTACCCTCACTAGGGTCCTTGAGGGGTCATGAGAGTTTGCCCATCCAGTCTACATGTGTTTTGTGGACTTGGAGAAGGTATTCAACCGTATTCCTTGGCGTACACTGTGGGGGGTGCTCCGTGAGTATGGGATTGGAGGTCCATTGTTATAGGGCGTTCAATCCCTATACAAGCGGTGCGAGAGTTTGGTTCACATTGCCGGCAGTAAGTCGGACCCCTTCAGGGTGAGAGTTGGACTCCGCCAGGGCTGCCTGTTATCACCGGTTTGTTCATAACTTTTATGGACAGAATTTCTCGGTGAAGCCAGCTGGCAGAGAGTTTACGGTTCGGTGGCTTCAGGATTCCATCTTTGCTCTTTGCAGATGATGTGGTCCTGTTGGCGTCATTGTGCCGTGATCTTCATCTCTCACTGGAGCAGTTCACAGCTGAGTGTGAAGCAGCTGGGATGAGAATCAGCACCTCCAAATCTGAGGCCATGGTCCTCAACCGGAAAAGGGTGGATTACGTTCTTCAGGTGGAGGGTGAGGTTCTGCCTCAAGTGGAGGAGTTCAAGGATCTCGGGGTTTTGTTCATGAGTGAGGGAAGAATGGAGTGTGAGATTGACAGATGGATTGGTGCAGCATCTGCCGTATTGCGGACTCTGTATCAGTCTGTTGTGGTGAAGAGAGAGCTGAGCTGTAAGGCAAAGCTCTCTGTTTACCGGTCAGTCTACATTCCTACCCTCACCTATGGTCATGAGCTCTGGGTAGTGACAGAAAGAATGACATCATGGATACAGGCGGTTGAAATGATTTTTCTCCGCAGGGTAGCTGGACTCTCCCTTAGAGATAGGGTGAGAAGTTCAGTTATCTGGGGGAAACTTGGAGTAGAACCACTACTCCTCCACATCGAGAGGAGCCAGTTGAGGTGGTTTGGGCATCTGGTAAGGATGCCTGCTGGGCACCTCCCTAGGGGGGTGCTTCGGGCATGTCCAACTGGGAGGAGACCCCGGGAAAGACCCAGGACACACTGGGGAGGCTATGTCTCTCGGTTGGCCTGGGAACGTCTTAGAATTCTCCCAGAAGAGCTGGAAGATGTGGCTGTGGAAAGCGATGTCTGGGCCTCCCTGATCAAGCTGCTGCCTCCGCGACCAGATTTCGGAATAAGCATAAGATAATGGATGGGTGGATGGATATATGTGTGTGTTTATA